GTGTAATTCCTTATTTCACTACCGCTTATATCCCCGTCACTGCGGCCCGTAGGCGGCTGCACTAGTCTTTTTCAACCACCGAACTCACCTCCAAGTGAACGGCCCATTCGGAACATCTCCGCGCGACGAAAATCCTTAATCCGCTCCTGAAAATCACTCCCGAACGCAGCGGAGCGGCGCGATATCCACACCATCCGCGTCCAAACCCGAGTTTCCACGCGAGCGACAACGCCGCCCGGTAACTCCGAAGTTCCAAATACCGTAGCGGACAGCGCTGTCAGGTTCATCGGGTCAAACGTCCCTAGTTCGCGACTCCCGCCATGTCGGCCCGGTGGCATCCTCCCCGCGAATTTGACGGATCGCGTGTTCGGCCGACGAGGGTGGTCGATCCCCGGTTCCTCGGGGGTGAGCCCCGCGCGGAAACGCCGGTTCCGAAAATGAGAGTTCGTGACTTGACAATAGTGGCACTGCGAACCGCGACTCCGAGTCCTCCGCCTCTTGGAGTTGGTCTTTCAACTCGGCGCGGCCGCAGCGCAGCAAACGTCGCAAGCTCACGATTTCGGCCACAGTCGCTCGTTCCATGCCGTTCCGTCGTGTCGCTCGCTGTGCTTCCTTCTCGCTCTCAGTTTCTGGTTTGAAAAGTTCTCCGTAGCTAGAACTAGCCGTTGATTCAAAGTGTAGACGTAGTCCAAGCTTTTTGGTAGCGTTAGTGACTCTTACGCCGTATTGAACTTCGGTAACCCTACCTGCAACTCCCCCCTCCCACTCATCCGCCATCACCATCGAGCAAGTCTGTGTAGTGTTTACTTCTGTAAACAATTTTTGCATCACTCGATTCCATTGCTTGGATTAGAAGTGCATAATGGACCACTAGACAAGGTACGAATTTAAGCATTCTGATACATGTTTTTTAACCAGAATTTCACTTAGAGCACGATTCGCGCAACGAAAACTGAAGAAACAAACTCCAAACGAAGATATTTACGTTTTTATTACACATTGATTACGAGGAATTCGAATTGCCCGCTCACAAGAAACTCAAAGCTCTACGTGAATCAAATCGCGCACTACAGTGGTAAAAAAACCTCTTGGTTCAAGAGTGCAGTTTCTTGTCGCCGGATTTAAGAGTCTGGACTCTTGTTTCAATGCAAAATCCGCTTGAATCAATGCAAAATTAGCTTGAAACAAGAGTTCAAGTCTCTTGAATCCGGCGACAAGAAACTGCACTCTTAAGTCAATGCAATGCGGCATTGGTCCAAGAGGTTTTTTTTACCAGTGTACAACGGTTTCAGCAAGCTTCTCAGTTGAGCAATGTTCATGTCCCACCATGTGTTGTTCAAACTATAAGCAATTTGCTATAGTTGAGCCAAAATGTCAAGATTGAGGTTGCCAGATTTGTATATCGTAGAGACTGTCATGATAACGTTTAGCGTGCGATGTGAATCACGTAGAGCATTGAGTTTTCATGAGCGGGCGGTTTGAATTCACGCATCAAGAATCATTAAATATCTTCGTAAAGAGTCAATTTCAGTAATTTTTGCTGTGCGCATCGCATTTTACTTGAAATTTTGGTTAAGAAAAATGTATCAGAATGCTAAAATTCGTACCTTATCTAGTGGTCCATTATCTCTGATCATCAACCACAATTAAAAGTTTCCTGGAAAGGGTTTGCAAGTTCTGAAAAGATGAGTCGAAGTTCTAAGAGTGCTCGCTTAAGGCCTCTAGTTGAATCTCTTGAGCTTTGTATGTTTTGAATCAATTTGGAGGTTATCCCGTACCTCCAAACATATCGTACGAAAGATCATCTTCCTCTACTAGTCGCCATCAGTTACTGTCATCTCGAAACAGGGGTGCCGATGATTGAAAAAAAAGTATAAAAACGCTGTAACGCTGAAGGATTCATACGGTGGAGCAATTCAAGTTATGAAAGTGTTCAGTTTATTAGTAAAAGTCTGACTTTTTTAAGAGGATCGAACCGGTGTCATCGAAACGTTTACTTTCCTACTCCGTCGTTGAAGTCTCTGTCGATTCTAAGTGTTTCCGCGGCTTGAAAGTTACGAAATCTGATTCTACGGGTTTCCTCTTTTCGAATCGTGTTTTGTGGCTTATTGCTAACCCCTTCGCAGCAATCTGTGAGTGCGTTGTGTGGTTTTATGGTCGATTTGCCGACTGACACAGACGCTTTTGTTTTGGGCGCTGATGATTTAAGTTAGTCCTGACGAATTACGGAAGTAAACTGAGGCTCTAAATATGTAACTTTTTTGTTCTCGACCAAAAATCATACAAATACATGTCGCTATAGACTATCTTTCGTTCAAACCCAGGTGCATCACCATATGCTTGTATTTAATATCGTTTGATATTCATATGAACTTTTCAAATTTTAACAAACGCGCAGTGCAACAACGTTTGGCGCCATGTCTCCTGCTATTTGTAAGAACATCGATCGGTATCGATCGTTAACGTCTCTGTAATTGCTAGTTACTTTCGACCGAGAAAAAGCAATGTGAACTTTAAACTGACGACCGTTACACGGTCGAACTTTTCGACGATTCCGGCTTTGAAGTGCCCAGTCACCTGATGCTCAGCTCGAAGGTACGTGAAAAAGAAAAATAATAAAAGAGGGATAGCTTGATCCATCTGTAGAGGGCTATTGTATATCTAAAGTATTTAATAGCTTGCATCGATGAGAGCAAGCACTGTATTCTCAACTAATTCTGATCACTTTAACAGACGTGTGGCCAATATTAGAAAGGAAAAGTGCGGTTCATTTGAACACCAAGGCTTCTCGGTTCAATGCGCTGGTTTCAGAATAGTGTTTTGATGCCTGGTTCTTGCAGATCAGCTAAAAACATTAACATCCGTCCAAACGGCAACTTTCTACGTTCAATATTGACCGATGATATCGCACTTTGAAAAATTCGATTCATGATGTCATTCGTCGCGGTAGTAATACCCTTGGTTTCTTCCACGTTGGTTTCTTACACGTTGAGTAACCAGAGCAAATGTGTGATTCCCTGAGTTATTAAAGCAATATGCAAGAAACCGAAGGTGTCACCACCGCGGTGGATGGTCATGAACCCACTTTTTTAAGGCGCGATATCTCAGTTAATATTGAATGTAGAAAGTTGATGTTTAGGCAGATCTTATTATTTTTAGCTAATGTACAAGAATCAAGCATCAAAACACGATTCTATGACCAGCGGAACTGTCAGTCTTCGAAGTTTGAAGTTCAAAGTTTTCGGTCACAGAAAGCAAACTTTGGCCCAACTAACTGAAATACGGTTTCTACAACCTGAAAGGTTGGTTACTAGAACTGAATAATTTCGAAATTCAATATGAGCGAAAGTTCAGTTCTTGAAGCCGAAGTTTTTTTCGCATTGTACATTGTGGGTTTTGTTATCTGCTGCACTGGAAAAAAAACCCGCATTGGATCCAGAGTCCAGACTCTTGAAAACATTGACAAGAAAAAGGACTCTTGATTCAATCAGATTTAAGCTTGAATCGAAAGGAAATGCGCTCAAATTAAGAGGCTTGGTTCTTGATTTAAGCCTAAATCTGACTGAATCAAGAGTATTTTTTCTTGTCAATGTTTTTAAGAGTCTGGACTCTAGATTTAATGTGTTTTTTCCCCCCAGTGTGGGCCATTGAATGAAACCTTTAGAATAAGTACGCGTAGATTATCCAGAGAGTTTATCCTTCTCTGACTACTGCGCCAAGTGCAGTGGTCGGCTGGAACAAAGAGACCCCCACCGTAAGGAGGCGTAAGGGATTCTCGACTCACAATCTGAACCTTGAGTCCTCGTCTCGACGAAGAAAAGAACAGAGAAAAAGGGAGGGAAAAAAATAAAACGTGAGTACTCTCTGGCTTTTCTTTCACTACGGTGCAGTGCTGAGGCGGTAATGCGAGAGTTAGCCCACCTCCTACGAAATTTAATGGCCGCCGCTCATTTATGGTTACCTGTTACGTTAAGTCGATTATCACAGCTCTGTCGCCAGTGATGCCACTTGCCGCGTAAATATATTCCGGTTTGTTCATAAACATCAGAGAAAACTCGAAAAGTTGGCGACGATGCCAGCAATTCGTAGATGTCGGCCAGGATCATTTGTGTTTTCCTCAGCAATTGGCTGCCCATCGTTTGTTATTACGCTGCCGTGGTAAGGAAGAACGCCGTATGAACATTCGAGAGTTGCCAAATTTCCTTCGATAAAATGTTTATTTTTGAGGAAAATTATGAATATATGTCCTTGAAATTTTCAGACACTTTAGATCAAGTTACAAACAAAATTATCTGAGAAATGGGCAGAAAAATATTTAAACGTTTTTCTGAAGATTAGTGATTTGCCAGAGGAAATTTTGCAACGTCTGAAGGCTCATACGGCGTTTTTCCATAGCACGGTAGTCTGAGTTCCCTCCCTGCAGTCCGCGGCCCATCCACGAGGCCACTTCGTGTCAGTAAAAAACCTGGGTACAGATTCAAAAATTTGAAGACCCATCTGCTCACACAAAGGTTTATAAACTTGTAAATGCCCAAAGGATGATTAAAATGGACTCACTGGAAAAAAAACACATTGGATCTAGAGTCCTGATTCTTGAAAACATTGACAAGAAAAAATATTCTTGATTCAATCGGATTTTTGCTTGAATCAAAACGAAATCCGCTTACATTAAGAGGCTTGGTTCTTGATTAAAGCTAGATTCTGATTGAATCAAGAGTACTTTTTCTTGTCGATGTTTTTAAGAGGGTGGACTCTAGATCCAATGTGTTTTTTTTCCAGTGCTGGGTAGATCTTCAGTTATGAGGGTGAGGAAAAATATAAATTTAGGGAATCAGAAAGCTCAAAGTAATGATTACGATAAGACGGACGTCAACCTCACGAATTAAAATTTTAGGATATAATATTACATTCGTTTACATAGTTTGAAACATTGCGAATTTTCACAAAATCAAAATTCGAAAATATTGGTCTATAATTTTGAGTTTTTTTTATTGTTGCAGGGTATGGAGATCTCATAGCCTCGCTTCAGCGGTTGCAGCATAATCTGAAAAAGAACGTGAACCAAGGTCATGGGTATGGTTACAGCAGTCTAGAGGTCCAAGTCGCAGCCGTCCAAACTCTCCTACTCAGCGCCGAGTTCGGAAGAGCCCTAGCCATCCACAACAAAGTTCAACAAGTTTGGTCTCCTCATCGCAAGCAGACTATCCAACCTGTTTCATCTCACTCGCTCACATTAGTTAGAGAAGTAAGAATACTCACCAATTTTGAAGTTAGTAGTAAAGTCAGTGGCCCTAGTTGCACTTAGGGTGGATAAGCAACTAAACTAACCGTGTGGTAAAGCGTAAGGTATCTCGGAAAATGAAGGCACCTTGCGTCTAGATCGTGCTTTTAAATATCAATAACATCTAGATTATGTCCATGCAACTGCCGAATTTACTTGCCGAGACATCTCATAGGTCGTTTGAATATTTTCGGCAATAGCTAATAGCCTGCAACATTGACAGAAACATATAATCAAGTGCCAAGTCATATTTTTTTCATTTCCTCTTTTTCTCTTAGTTACTCTTCGAACGATGATCAATATTAAGCCAGTCATCATTTTTGTCGCCTTTTTGTGAATGCAGTTTTTCGCGGAGTCTAATCGCGGAAAAACGTTCCGTGAGGTTTTGCCTATCGCGTAAAAGCACATTTCAGCTATTCATCCTCAAAAAATCTCTTTCATGGAACTCAAATTAAAGCTTCATGTACCTATCCAAACGCAAAATTTAACTATATTCTTTAGACTATATTTTAATATAAAATTCTCCAACTTTTTCTCTGTTTCAGTGTTTAGAAAGTTTAGAACAGAGTTCGCAGCCTGAAGCTTCAGAACTAGCAGATTTACTGACGAGGTATGAAGTGGAAGGATTACTATACGCACATGATACCATCGCTCGGGATATGACCATTGACCGAATCGTCTCACCATCACAAACCAATAGCTCAAGCGTCACATCTCAAGCGCAGCCAGTCCAAGATGTAGAATTAAATGCCAATATCAAAATTATTAAAATTGAAAAAACGAATGAGCCACTGGTAAGATATTTTCCTTTCTTATCAGCTAAAATCTATTATTGAAGTATTTATAAGCTCTGCTTTTAACCCTTAAGTATGATATCCACTCAATTTTAATGAGATGGTTCCACAGTCTATTTCGAAAATGAATTGCAAAATGTTTACTTGGGCCAAACTTCCATAGAGTTATTTTTAAGTAAGTGAGGCATATACAGCATAGGTACTTTGACTGTGGGGGATTTTTTTCAAAAAATATCCAAGGTAGGTTTCATTGACTGTTGAATTTAGACTTAGTCAAACCGTAAAACATTGTTTAATTCTAGGGATTGGGAAACATTTTTTTTGTTTCTTTTTCAATCAAAATTTATGTGAAATTTACGGTAAACTAAGTCAAGAAAAAAATCGGAATCAAAATTTTGTAAAATTCTAAAAATACATTTTATTGATGCTATACGTACACGAAATAAACTGTAAAATATGCAACATAAAAAACTAAAGGGGCAGGTAATTTTTTTGTTCACTGGAGAAAAAACACGAACGAGAAAAAAAAAACAGAACTGACACAATTCGTAAGTAGAGCAGGGAGCGGACGCGCGATGCTTACGGCGCAGACATACAACTATTCGTACTCGATGGATGTTCATGTTTCGTCTGCAAAATTGAAGGCGCAATGGCGCGAGGCGTGGACTCGTATTACTCCGCTCTTCGCTGCGAATGAAAATTCACTCAGATTTGGGCGGAAAGTTAAAAAACGAGACCCGATTACGCGTCTCCTATTCTCGCCTGAGTTCCCCACGTATATCCAAAATAGGCATCTGCAAATAAGGCTTTTAGCCTGGCGGCCAGCTCGGTTGACTCGGGCGTTGGCAATAATCATACAAAACATCAAAGTGGATACTTTAGAGTTTTTTTGGGCTCAAACAATGACTTTTGATGGTAAAAAAAAAAACAAAATTGGTGATAAATTTGTACTGCTGTGCTGAGAAAAACCCCCGTGCAAACATCAGAATGTCACCAATTTATTCTAGATAAAATACTTATTTTAGAGGTACGAAAATGGTTTGAAAGTTTCTGATAATTTGGATCGAAGTGCAACTGTTTCCCCTGATTAATTTGAGCTTCATAGCGTGACCCTGACCTCAAGATTACGGACATTTTCGCACTCTCCCAGTACTGGTGCTGTACCTCGGGATAGCTCTTCGATTGAATACAGGGTGATCCAGGGTTAACCGGCCAAACTGCAGGAGCGTGTTCTATGGTTCAAAATAATACTTTTTTACTGTATATAGCTTATTTCCAAAGAAGCTCCAGGTCGGAGCTATGGCCCCCAAAATTTTGGAAAGGAAATCGTTTTTCCTTAATTTTAGCAACGGTTGTGAATCAAATTTTATGAAAATTTAAACTCCCCTGGATTCATAAATGATCGAAAAGAAAATCGAAATCTCAATTTAAAGAGGGGGTTTGAGGGTGTTTTGGCTCCTGCAGTCTAGCCGTTTAACCCTGGATCATCCTGCATACACTGGAAAAAAAAAAAACACATCGGATCTTGAGTCCAGATTCTTGAAAACATTGACAAGAAAAAGGACTCTTGATTCAATCAGATTTAAGCTTAAATCAAAAGGAAATCCGCTCAAATTACGAAGCTTGGTTCTTGATTTAAGCTTAAATCTGATTAAATCAAGAGTATTTTTTCTTGTCGATGTTTTTAAGAGTCTGGACTCTAGATCCAATGTGTTTTTTTCCAGTGTTGAAATTAACCTATTTTCATACTTATTTTTAACATTTTTTATTCTCTCTTTCTAGGGTGCTACCGTTCGGAACGAAGGTGAAGCAGTTATAATTGGTCGTGTTGTACGCGGCGGAGCAGCTGAGAAGAGTGGGCTGTTACATGAAGGAGATGAAGTCCTCGAAGTGAATGGAATAGAAATGAGGGGCAAATCTGTGAACGATGTTTGCGACCTTCTTTCTGGCATGAGTGGGACCCTAACTTTCCTCATCGTACCCAGTATCAATCGAGGGAGCCGTCATGTCCAGCAACCAGTTTGTGATACCATTGTAAGTACCTACTCTTTTTCATTAGACATTATCACGATTGAGAATATGTCATTTGAGTACTTATCTCCATTTCCCTCGAAATAATTCAGGTAAATCCTTCCAAAAAACAAAAAAAAAAGACCTGCAATGGACCACTAGACAAGGTACAAATTTCAGCATTCTGATACATGTTTCTTAACCAAAATTTCACGTAGAACACGATACGCACAACGAAAATTACCGAAATCATCTCCTTCCGAAGATATTTAATGATTCTTGGTGTGTGAATTCAAACCACCCGCTCATGGAAACTCAATGCTCTACGCGATTCACATCGCGCGCTAAACGTTATCATGACTGTCTCTGCGATAAAAAGAAATGGCAACCTTAATTTTGACACTTTGGCTCAGTTATAGCAAATTGCTTATAGTTTGAACAACACATGGTGGAAAACGAACATTGCTTGATTGAGAAGCTTGATGAAACCGTTGTAGTGCGAGAATTGACTCACGTAGAGCTTTGAGTTTCTCGTGAGCGGGCAGTTCAAATTCCTCGTAACAAATGTGAGATAAAAACGTTGATATCTTCGTTAGGAGTTGGTTTCAGTAATTTTCTCTGCGTAAATTGTGTTTTGCGTGAAATTCTGGTTTAGAAACATGTATCAGATTGCTTAAATTCGTACCTTGTCTAGTGGTCCATTACATCGTAAAAATATCGCAATTCCACTGAGTGTTGTGCATGTTGCCTAGCTCCTATTTGAAGGGGCTCCATTTATTGAAACTTAAGTATTGCACTAAAATTGAGATGATTTGCAATTTTCAATTGCACTGCATATTGCCTATCTTTCTGACACATAGAGCTCATTTTATTGATTGTTTAAAATCGGCATGATGATACCGCAATGCACTAAATGATGTAAAAATATTGCAAATTAATGGTAAAAAAATACAATTTTATTGAAATCAAATTGCAATTTAAGTTCAATATTTTCGTTTCATTGTGCTACTTGGGAATGCAATTTTATGCAAACTTTGTTCAGCAATTTACTCCAAACGATCTGGACTAGGAAATGTTCAATAAAAACTCAACGAGATAAATTAACTCTCTATTTTTGTACAGTAAAGTTGATGCTTACCAAATTTCTTTTTATTCAAAGCATTTTTGTCAAGTAATCTCCTTCTGATGGCCAAAGGGCGAAACGGTATCTTCGTCTCTGACGCTGTAAGCTTCCTGTCATACTTTATTTTTTCTTTGGAAAACCCATCATCGTAATTTCCTAAAACTTAACTTCCTTGTTTTTTCCTCTCTGTCAGCAGAATTATATATAGGAGTACATATCAAGCTATTACCTAAATTGGCTTGTTTCTCTTTGACAAAAAAAGGAGCGAAAATTTTGGAACACTGCAGTTAAAATACGTTTCGCACTTTGGTCATCAATTTATATTTTCTTTACATTTTCACTGAGATGAATACTTACTTTTGTGAAGAAAGAATGAAGATGTATTATGAAAATTTTCTGTCGGAGAGAGGGAGTGGTGAAGCAGGAGCACCCCTTCCTAAATGAAGACTATATTTTCAGAAATTATAAATTCCATAAAATAGATGTGAACTAATGGTGAACTGTTTCGGTGTCATTTCAGATGCATGTCAAAGCTCATTTTGACTATGATCCAGAAGATGATCTTTACATTCCGTGCCGTGAATTAGGAATTAGTTTTCAAAAAGGCGATGTCCTGCATGTCATTTGCCAGGATGACCCAAATTGGTGGCAGGCTTACCGAGAGGGTGAAGAAGACCAAACCCTTGCGGGGCTTATTCCTAGTAGATCTTTCCAGCACCAGTAAGTATGAGTGTTCAAGTTAAATTTTTTGTGTATTCCAACTACCAAGTCTCTTCCTCGATCAGTAGCAATATTTTTTTTAAAAGTTTGTGTCTAAACTTACAAAAATCCTGCAAATAGGTATAAGATTAGAAGCAGGAAATCCTTTTATTTGATCGTATGTAAAAATGATGTAATATTTACCATGAATAGACAGCAATTTTTCGGTACTTTCTCACGGAAAAATTGCTGTCTCCTCACATGACGTGCGTGAAAGATAAAAAAGTTGCCATTAAAATTTTGTTATTTTCTAAAAACAGTTACTTTGACATGAAGCGCAACATAGTAGTAGGTATTTGTAAAAATTAACCAAATGTTTATGAGCCATACACTCCAGCATCACAGATTCAAGGTTCTCATGATAAAATTTCACAAAATGAAAAAAACTTTTACTCAAGGGGCAACTTTATAATTAGTTGTTGATGTAACATGCTCTCGCCCCCAAAAATGTATGTTTGTGGAGTCTAGAAGGAAATGTGCTCCTACTTAATGTTACAACAGGTACAGAATGTCTTTTGCACCATATTTATTTAATTTTTACTCTCATTTTTATTTTTACAGAAGAGAAGCCTTAAAACAGACAATAACAGGAGATAAAACTAATAAAGATAAGAATAAGAAGACTGGAACCTTTTTGTGTGCAAAGAAACATCAAAGAAAGAAAAAGAAGAAGTTATATAGTTCATCAGAAGGAGGTTATCCTCTTTATTCAACCAGTGTAGATGGTAAGACTTCTCTAAATATTTTATTGATCTCTAAAACTTAGAAAGTGACAGATGTTCCTCATAATTTTCCTTTTGAAGCATTAATAATGTTTCAAAGAACACCATCAAATAAAGGTATACTTAAATGCAAAAAGGAAGATGAATCAGGAAGGTACGTTTCAGGAATATTTAAAAACTCAACCACCCAGCTCGGTTCATTTTATTTGAGTCAGGAACATTTCTCCTGTAAAGTTATCTATAAAGGCAGCTATAGGTAAAGTGTATGAACGTAAAAAGTGTAACATAATTCTCAGTTGTCAAATTTTTAAGAGAGAGCAAGTATTTTTTGATACTTTGGTCAATATCAAATAACGAACAGAATGAAGAAGAACAATGAATGAAATTACTTAATGTGTCTGCGTATGGCTTTATGTACAGCATTGCAATCTCTTTTTTGCAAAGAAGAAAATAATTGATATGCTCTCTTTAAGATTAAGCAAACCCAAAGGTTTATTTGAATTCTTAAACTTGGTGACAAGCTTATATTTTTAAAGGAGGAAAAAAATTCACATACCTTCAAAAACAATTTCATTATGATTCGTTGAATTTGTTTCAGATTACAATATTGAAGAAATTCTAACTTATGAGGAAGTTGCTTTGTATTTTCCTAAATCCGATCACAAAAGGCCTATAGTCTTAATTGGACCTCCAAATATAGGAAGACATGAATTACGTCAAAGACTAATGGAAGATGCGGAAAGATTTGCTGCTGCAATTCCTCGTAAGTACCTACCCTTCAATTCATTTTCGTCGGTCAATCAAAAGAGAAAGGATAACTTTGTGTTCATAATACAGTTGATAACCATAGTCAACAAATTATAACGGGCGAAAATCATCTTGAATTAAGGTTGCCTGATGTATGTAAATACATGCACCTTGATGCAAAGGAATAGCCTTCAATTTAAGCGGACGCAACTAAGCATACGTCTGTGAGGATTGAAATAAAACATAATTCCCAGCTCTTTAACGATTTAGCCTGGGTTTTTGGTTTTAATTTAAATAGACTTAATCTTCTATTGGACTTATAATCTGATTGTTCTGGTTCAGTTCGCTTTTTTTTGAGGTGGGGAGGGGGGGGGCGCCCTAATTTGTACAGATGGATAAGAAGTGATTTCTTGTTGCAAAAATAAAGGTAAATGGAAATGAAGTGGAAGAAGAATAAATGAATTTTCGACAAAAAAAGAAAAAAATACAGAGCCCAGGACTCATTCCAATCTTAAAATATCTCAATCCCTGACTGTTACTCACAGTGCAAAATTTGTATTTTTCAGACACAAGTCGTGCCAGAAAAGATGGAGAAATAGATGGCCAAGATTACCATTTTATTACTCGTGCTCAATTTGAAGCTGACATTCTCTCCAGGAAGTTTGTTGAACATGGAGAGTATGAGAAAGCATATTATGGTAAGTTTTATTCGTTTTGCTGCTTGCACTTGTATGGATATCAGCTGAATTCAGTCCTTTTTTGTCTCAATTGAAAATTACTTTGTGAAATAAACCTAACATTATTAATCACACTACATTTAGCTTTTTCATTTATTTATGTGACAATTTTCTCACTTCAATAGTCGATTAGGTACTCATGTACAATGTATATTCTTGTCTCATTTTGCTTTCCTTTTAGTCGGTCGGCAAGCGCTTTTGAATATTCATTGGATTGAGCCAGTGAATAATTTTGCATTGTAGTACCCACCACACTAAAAATAATTCCAGTTTTAAAACTCACTATTTCTCTACACCTTCCTCTCTGTACACCTATAAGTAGTCAAGATGAAATTGGCTTTTATAATAATGAATGACTCTAACAATAGTTTATTTGAATTTTCAGGAACTTCAATTGATGCCATCAGGTCTGTTGTAAATTCAGGGAAAATCTGTGTGCTCAACTTGCACCCTCAGTCACTCAAAATTCTTCGAGGTTCTGATTTGAAGCCATATGTTGTTTTTGTAGCTCCTCCATCTTTAGAAAAATTGAGGCAAAAGAAAATTAGGAACGGCGAAGCGTACAAAGTAAGTTTTTTCCACTCAAAATTTTCTGCCCCTCTAAAATGAGTGATCATTCAAAAAACTTTTTACACTTGTTGGTGGTAGCTTATCCAAATGTATATGTCTCTAGAAGGTCATTCAAATTTGTTACACATTTTTGCTTCTTCTTTTTTTTTATGTAGGTACTTATGGTAAAACATTTAGAATGATTTTTTTTTTCATCAGAACTTGCATAAGATTTCAGTGTATTTCAACTCAATCGGGTTATGGCTGAATTATCCGAAAAAATTTGTCGGCTGAAACTTACTTTTTCAAACATAATTGATCACCCTGAGAGATCTTTAAGCAAGTTACAAATGTATATCATTTGGGGGATTAACAATTAAAATCAAGAAAACTTTTTTTTTTAAAAAAAAAAAGAAATAAAAACCAATTTGTCATCATTGAAGTTGAATACCTTTACCTTTAATTTGATGTTACTATCATTTTTTGACATGTTTCACTCTTATGTTCACAGGAGGAAGAATTGAAAGATATCATTGAGAAAGCCAGAGAAATGGAGGACAAATATGGTCATTTCTTTGATATGATTATTATTAATTACGACACAGAAAGAGCTTACAATCAACTTCTTGCAGAAATCAATAACCTTCAACGGGAACCTCAATGGGTCCCTGCATCTTGGATTCGATCCACATGAGGAATACTGACACACTCTTTACCAAACCGCATTTAGCTTTCATACACATTTAAACAAATTTAGTCAATCATGTTCTCTTCTCTTATTTTTTCTTGTGCTTCAAACGCTGGAAAGAAGAGATAAATATTTTTTACCTTCGGCAGAAAAATGCATTTGGAACCAACAAAATACATAGATCAAGTAGAGTGTTATTTTTTTAACAAATGAAATAAAGTTTGGTTCCTTCCATAAAATTCTAGTAAGACTTTTTTAAACAGACGACTGTCACTTAATAGGTATCTTGGTCCTCGCAAAAAGTGAGCTCTCCTAAGAAAAAAAGGAAGATTTTTAAAACTATAGAATTTAGGTAGGGTCCCCAGAAAGTTAGAAATGTCTGATCAGGTTGTTCTTGCACTTTGTTTAATGCCTACTTACACTTGTATTTATTTATTTTTTTAAAAAAATAATCATTTGTTGATTTCTGGGAATGAAGGCAATGAGTGACAATGAGTTATTTTGTGCTGTAACCTCATCCTCTTGAAAATACATCTGTAGTTGTCAGTAATATAATTGTTTAAAAGTTTTGCCTTTATACATTCAAATATTTGCCCTCATTCTCCCATTAATTCTGGAAGCTCTCTTTTGCTGATAATTTAAGAGCATTAATAATTTCAGTTCTATTGAAAGAATTTATGATGGGATCTAAAAATGGGCTCAGTGCAATATGTACATTTTTCTTCTTGTGGCATTTCTTAGATCCATGTAAAGTTGAAAAAAAAAGAAAGAAAAAAAAGCAAAGCTCTGTGAATTTTTTTATGGGTGTGAATTCAATCATTCCAAAACTTCCAAGATAACTTAAGTCAGTTAGAAATTGGCTAAAATTCTTATATTTTGCCAGCGGAAAAAATTGCCTAAATCAAGAGTTTCTAACAAGCAATGATCATCTCAATAAAGATGACTGTTTGTTTTATAGTAATCTACAGGTAGCATTGAGAAGTGCCTCTGAAAGTGAGATAATATACAATTTAATCATTTACTACAACTTTTTGCGAGAGACTTCAACTGGATTAAAACTGTTCTGAAAGCTCATCTACTTTGTCCTATTCGAGCTAAAATAATAGTAATTTCTCAGTACCTATTTTATAGTAGGGACAGCCTAATCTAGATTACAATCACAAAAATATGTGTTAGATAGTGTCAAATTTTAGATGTTTCTCAAAAAAATTTTAAATTTGTCAAATTCAAGTTAGTTGCAATAAACTAGTTCATAGTTGAACAAATAGTTATTAAGCGGATCCTTTTTTCTGTAAATATTAGAGGTTGTAAGAGTTTTACTTCTTCTTGTTACTGTCTTTGAAATACCTCTTCGACAAGTAGGTACATTTTTCCAGTTCGTTAAATAATGAGGTCTTCAACCCTTTGAAACTGTACACTGTAGCAATGTTGTGAATCCAAATAATTCTGAAATAAATGTCCTGGTGAGAAAATTCATAACTGTACTTAATAAGGGTCATCTTAAAATCTTTTACGTACATATAGCTCTAAATTATCTTGGTATCAGATGTGCACTAAGTGCCAATATAAATTGACAGGAAAGATTCAAACGTATAATTTATTTCAGCAAAGCGTCTACACTACACCTATCTACCTACTGAAAATTTCATCAGGTTCATTCAACTAAATTTAATTTTATAAATCATTCATTGATGGATTTTCTGTGAAAACTTTTTTTGTACCCTTTCAAATTAAAATGACCGCAAATGTTTCAGATTCTGAATAAGTTAAACAGAGAGTAGGTAGGTATGTAAGTATGCAACTTAAAATAGATTTCTCTAATTTCTTTCAATTTTGGGGAAAACCTCTTTCAAACTCTGATACTTTAAAATATGTGCCAAAAAATTGTGTTTAAATAGAAAACTGGACTTTTCCCTGTCCTTTTACTGGACTAAATACTCAAAATCAAAGATCCAAAGATAAGGTTTACTATTCATCTTTTCCCTAAGTTTTCGAGTTGTGTCAGCTCTTAAAAGAGCTGCTTAAATACTTGCACAAATTATTTATTGCAGCTTCCTCAAGTAGCTCTAAACCGTGATTTTAAAGACCAAATTTTTCTGGAAAAGTTTCTTCTCTTTTCTTTTTTGCCATCAGAAATGGTGAGTCGGTCAAGAAAAATATTCAAAAACTAGAAATGAGCTATTGGATAGCAATAATTAAGTTACTTCTTTGTGCAGATGCAATTTTACCCACGTGCCCGAATACCTAGAACATCCTAACCGTATCTATCAAGTGTGTTCGAATTTTTAATCGCAATAGCCCCTAAAATCATCAAAGCTTCATAAATTTGAGCTTAGATAAAAAGTCACAGGTACTGACATTCAAAAGGGATTCATCATGAATAATTTCAATTATCTGTCTTTTGAATGAGTAAAAACACTGACCTTGTTTAGATACTTAAACATTTTGAAATTTTAAACACGTAATTGAGAAGAGAGGTTCAATAACTGCAGTAAGAACCTTTTCAACATTAAATTTTGGATTTCAGTTCATCAAAAAACATAAGTGCACCAAAGAAAACACAGAAAGATTTTTTTCTTTTTACAAAGGATTTTTGAAGTTAAGAATTAGACTTTTTTTGTTTGTTTTGTTTATCTAACTCATTTCATCTGCCATAAGGCATGTGCTCCCATTACATCAGAACTTAAGATTTTAAGAAAAATGGCCTAAAGATAGTAACCTAAAGTATGAGAGTCTTACCTTATGCTTACCTTTACCTCCTCAAAAGTTTTTACCCAGTACAATGTATTACTCTCTCTCAAAGAGACCTAAGTAGACCCTGCTCCACATAAGTTTACCCGTTTTATATGCCTGCCCTGATAGCAAAAAAGTAAGCATATTAAAAGGATAAGCTTATCTGAAAGGGTGTTCATAAACATCGTTTTTTCAAATACAGAGATAAATTTATGAAAAGTAGGTAGGTATCTAATCAGTTACAAACTCGATGTACTGAATGAAATCACATATACATATGTCTGTTTACGCAGAAAAATATTGCTTCCCCTTATTGTTGTTAGGTGCATACTCATAACAATTTCCTACATACCTATGTGTTAGTTAAAATAAAGAAATGTATCGAACAGTCGAAAAATTGGGGAATATCCAACTATTATAGAATTACTTACTCATAAACTTTAAATTGAAGTAAGTTTTAGTGGCAACTGCCAAGGAAGGATGAACAAAAAATTTGATGTTAAACTGCTCAATTACTAGTGATGTAGTTTCATTAAGTCCAGTTTTAAATGTTAATTGTGTATAGTTTTAAAGTATGATGATATAGGTATCTATTGTAAATAACTGATTAAAAATTACTATGTTATTTTATCCTCGATGTAGCTAGAAAGCCTTCTTTAATTGAACGACTCTCTTTCTTTTTCTTTTCCTTATTTGCAGAAACATGATTCATTCTCTTGTGATGATCAAAACTTCTCGACTTTGATCTTCAAAGGAGAGCCATGAAAAGAAGGAAAAGAGAAAGAGATAGGATTGAAAAAATGTAAAGTTAAATGAACTAAGTTATTATTTATATCATTTCTATTATTATTTTTATTTTAATTATAATTATTATCATTATTATAATTAATATTATGACTATTAATTATTATAATTATGATCATTATTACAAACTTGTTGTTGTCTTATTTATATTTATAAAAATATATAACAAAATTTACATTACAGATTTAAAGTGCTGAGTTTTGTTTCAATCCATGCCCTGATGTCACAGTATTTCATCATCAAAAATAACCCTAGATGCGTGACGACTGTTAAAACAACTTTTATAGTGCTCATAAACCGAAGAAAAATTCGGTCGAATCGTATAGCATTATCACCGATAAAATATATTTGCAATCCACACCATTTTGCAATATTGCCACTATGCTACGCGACTCATCCGAATTTCGAGGATTTCATGTTAAGCACTATTTTAAACACAACGTAGAAAACCCAAGTGAACTAACAACCACAGCCGTGCGTTGTGCGTAAGAAAACCAGAGCGCCTGCAATTTTGTGTGTATGCAACACGGACATCCTGAGACCACGAATAGTTGCATCCACACCTGGTCAATGAAAAAGCCTCAGCGCCTTTCGCTTTTTCCACTTGTGTGCACTAACTTAATCTGCTGTCTCAAGGAAAAACGCCGTATGAGCCTTCAGAAGTTGCCACATTTCCTTCAATAAAAACCGAATTCTGTGGGAAAATTTTGAATTTTTTCCTCCAAATTTTTTTGGTAATTCTGTTCGCATTTTGATGTAAAATATTCGAAAATTTCAAGGTAAATTATGAATGACACCTCAAAAATACATATTTGATCCAAGGAAAGGCAGCTCTCAAATCTGCCGTGCTAAGCAAGAACGCCGTAAATCCGTCAAGATTTTCCCTCGTCGTTTGGAACTTAACACTTTATAAAATAAAAACTGTTTTGCCCATGCACCTCAAATTTTCAGGTTGAGTTCTTGGTAATATTTGAGAAAACATTCTGTAAAAACATTGTCCTGGGGTGCTTATGTTTTTCTGCTACGATACATTTTTTCCAAAAAATGTAAAATGGCGTTTACGGCGTTTTTGCGTTGCACGGCAGAAATGTTCGTACGGTGTTTTTCCTTAGCACGGTAGTGATGCGTCACGCATTGCAATAATGTGTCGTTGTTACTCGAAGATAAGGGGATTGAGTATGCAAACACATCGAAATGCATGTAAACAAAATGGAGACCATTTAGTATTCATGCGGTCATTATTCGCCTGGCCGTATCGGAAATCACACTTTTAACCTTTATCTGAATCCTATCATTTAATTTACTTCAAAAGATGTAAAATCCCTATTCTACTAATTATTTACCATCTTCCGTATATAACAGCGATGCCATATAGTGCAATTTGCCGGACCGTCATCGGAAAAAACGAGCAGACTACTGACTTATCGTGATCATTGCTTTTGCAAGATGACAAGTTTTCTTGCATTTAAAAATCCCTTGAATTTCCAGAAATTTTGAATAGAAAAATCCCCGACTTTTCCTCGGCTTTTCAGTGTATTTTTGGCATGGTCTTTGCAGGGCCGAATTTGCCTACTTGCCGCCCATGGGTCGCCTGTATTTTGCCACCCCTTCTCATTCGTTTTGAAACATCGATACGAACAGCGAATACATCAAGTGAACGTGCCAGAGGAGGAGGGGTGCATAAGACAAGTTTACTCGCATTAGGCACATTTTTTGTGGAAAACCCTATCACCACTAGCAAAAGTTCACGGAACTTTGCTCGAGAATTAAGTTCCGTAAACCTATCCCTGTGTGGACAAGGCCTTTCAGTAATGAGAAAAGAACGAAAAATTGTGAAAGAGTAAACATGAATGTGGTTTCATGATTTTAATTTCCGCCACCGCGCCAACCGCGCTGTGTTGGGCGCAATGCGTGAAGTATCCGCACAGTCTTGGAATGGAAGAGATGAATTAAGAACGGAAATTTTGAAACACCGCAATGGAGATACGTGGTTTCGCACTGCAGTCGGACTGATACGGACATCCATCAAGTTTAAATAGTTGCATCAAGTCCCCGTCACCGCCGACCAACGCGTTTGTCGATCAAATCAACTACAGGTAGTATGAGCAGGGAGTCAAAACGCCTTCAATTTTTTGAACGCAATACGGACATCCGTGGAGGTTGTATAGTTGTATCAAGGGGCCGTAGCAAACGCGTCCCATTGTTTTCGTTACAAACGAATTTAAGTTGAGAGATATTTTTGGGCAAAATGAAAGACGACGTTTCTCCATTTGCGACGATGCAGACTTCCTTAGAAATTACACTTTTTTTTCGAGAAGCTGGTCAACATAAAACTTAAATTCTCCATGATTTTTCGTATTCGATAGCAGAAGATTTGGTTCAAAATTTACGGTCGTAAATTTCGATTGTTTCTCATGGAAGAGATGAAATAAGAATGGAAATTTGGAAACACCGCAATGGAGATTCTTGGTTTCGCACTCAGTCGGAGCGATATCTGCATCCATCAAGTCGGTTGTGAATTTAAAAAGTTTCGCACGGATAAAATGAGCTTTCTTGGATCACCTGTGAATAATCAAAATTGAAGAAAAGGTACTTTGTATACTTGTCCACTAGGAAAGCGTAAAGCATGGATGGAGGGAGCATCGATGACCAACTAAATCTTATCTGATAAGGAATTTTAACTGTGAAACCCTTTTTTCAATCTTTAAATGATCCAAATCTACCAACAAGTTTAAAACACTAATTGCAAAAATGCGTATCTCCTGATGAAGTGTCGATTCTTTTTGCCAAAAACACGAATCTCGGCATTTCTGCCGTATTTTCTAACGGTTCGAGAAATTATTGAAACTGCTGTCGGAGTTTGAAAAAACTTTTATTCTTTCTATCCTCTACCCTGATTGTTCAGTTAGTAATTTTTTCACACACATTCTCAGTTATTATTTATTCGGTTGCAGGCAATTAGTAATCGTCGGCAAATTGCAATCTATTCGTGTTTGACCAACAAATAAAATCGTTTTAACGTGTAAAAACGAGATTGGAAGTAGGTATTATTATGCTTTGACTTCAAACATACGTTAGCCCTTTCTTCTTGGATACATGGTTCCAGCTATCACACTCGCGAGTTCGTTAAATGCCATCAATAATCTGTGTTAGGATTGGTTAAGCAACTAAACTAACTTCTTGGCAAAGCGGAGAGTATCGCTGGATTTGAAGGCGTAAAGAAATCTTTACTATATCGATGTTATCGTAATTACAATTTGACGAATTGACAAGTACGGAGCTTGTAAATTTCCGGTGATTGCTGACTATCTGCGACTTATCTTCTTCTTATACTAATAAAGCAGACTTCACTTTGATTGACTCACTCACTGACTGACTCACTCACGTATCAGCGGATCTCGTGAACGGGAGGCCGTGTGACCCTGAGATTCCGCACTGGGATCCCTCTCTACCCCGAGGCGCCGGATAAGGGAGGATTTCGCGATCCGCCCGCCGGTTCGCGGGATATCGCGGTCCGCG